TCCTGCTAGAGGAGTAGTATGTGACCTCGATGTGGGAGATGCCAAACCTATCGCGTTGCGCCCAAGGTCAATTGGACCGCACGTGGCAGTCAAGGTATATGAGCTCCTCAAGAAATTGCTCGAGAACAATCTGATTGAACATTCCGAATCGCAATGGGTATCTCCGATCGTGATCGTACTCACGAAAAATGGGGTGGACATCAGGATGTGTATTGACTATTGACTTGTGAAAATTTTCATCCAGCTGTCTAGTTATCCGCTACCTCTCATCGACGACCTGTTAGTTGGTTTTGAGAAAGCACTCTGGTTCATGAGCCTGGATATGGCCAGCGGCTTCTGGCATATCAAGATGACTGAAAGAGCCAAGTTGATTTCCGCCTTCGTTTGTCCGTTTGGGCATTTTCAGTGGATCCGGATGCCATTTGGTCTGAAAAACGCACCCCTGATCTACCAGCAAGTGATCAATAACTGCCTGTGAGGGTTCGTGCGTCTGCCACAAGAAGAGGAGGCAGAAGTAGACCAGGAAGTTTTGGATTATCTGAATCTGGAACCCAGGATAATGGACCTCCAGGATGTGGCACTCCAGGATGCAGCGGTTGTGAGGACGACCATGCTTCGCGGTTGTTGCCGACCCTGGTGGACCAAATGACAGTGTTCAAAAGGAACATCCCTGCCCCAACCCAGATGTCACCTGTTCTAGGGCACAGCTCTTATATCAACGATATCGCGCATGGCGCACCAACTTGGGATGCATTGTGTGCTGACTTGGATGCTCTGCTATATAGACTTCGGTATTGGAATATATCCGTAAGTCTGCCGAAGAGCGAGTTCGAGAAACTATCCATTCCGTACCTGTCACACGAGATTAGCGCTGAAGGAATCAGGGCGACACCGAAGATCGCTAAGGGAGTCCAGGATTTACCGTTCCCAACTACCCTGAAGGGAGTGCAATCTTTCTTGGGCAGCCTGAATTATATCATAACTTCATCGAGGACTATCCCGTGGTTGCAGCCTCCCTGTATGAGCTCTCAGACGACCAAGTGCGTTCAGGGCGAGATCTCTCCAGGGCAAAACAGGCGTTCGAAATCCTAAAACACAAGATCATATCGACCCCAGGGCACCCTGACAGGACCAAACGGTTTGTCATTATACCCCATGCAAATCAATGGGCTGCCTGTGCGGTCCTGGGTCAAGAACGTGATGGTTTGATCCAGCCAGTGTGTTTTACGGGTCGTGTTCTCCACGATGCGGAATTGAGATATCACATC